TATTGAAAGTGGTGAATTTTTCAAAGTTATTTTTTGTTCTATTCCAAGTAATAAGCATTCAAATAGCCATTCCTGCCGTGAATCTTACACAAATGCCTGAATGTAGCTACACAGACTCTTGAAATGTGCATAGGCATTTCATCTGGCAGAACACAAAACATTTCACAGAGCTTAGGAAAGTTGGAAAGTTTTAAGTACTGTTATCACACCAACTAATTATCACAGTGTTCTTGTGAAATTTAGCTGTACTTATTGCACACAAGATGTTACGTTAAAGAGGTAAATCCATTTTCCAAAAGCTAACATATGGGGCAGTAATTGGGTCAGGGACAAAACATAGGATGTCTGTCATTGCTTTCTACTTCTCTGTTTTCTCCAAACCTTTTTTTTTTTTTTCTCATTTTCAAAATAAGTGGAGAAAGGCTTGCCAGCTTCAGGTGGTAAATGTTAGATGATGATCATGCAGCTGCAGATTAGTCTTGTGTTTTATTTCGTGCTAGGCAGTGTACTGCAGACACCCAAATCTCCAGTACTTACGTAGGATGGTAAATTTACTGCACTTTAACCTCAGATTGAGACGGTGGGCTAGCAACCATTTCTATTGAGTAGCAGTAGCCTGGAAAAGGAATGTTCAAAGGAACATGAGTTCCATGTCATTCAGAAGACAGTGAGCCTCTTTCCTGGTTTCATAAATCAAATTGTTCTGAGTCCCTGATTACAAAGCAGATGCAAACTTGTCCGATCACCAAAGTGGGCGCCCTCCTTGCATGATGCTGTGTATCCTCCCATAGCTGTATGATTACTGTTCTGGCTTGTTTGTATTTATTATCTTCTGTTCTGAAGGCAAGCCCATTAGAGTTTGGGTCACCTAGAGACATAAATGTGATTGCTCCAGACTTCACCACATCTGGAGTGAGTACAGTAATGAACTAGTTGTAAGATTATGTTATTACTTCTCTGGATCTCTCTGTTCCTATGTCTTCAGAGCATGCATCACAGAGGCATTGATTTTTGCAGCATTACAGAATCACAGAATGGGCAGGGTTGCAAGGAACCTCAAGGATCATGAATCTCCAACCCCCCTGCCACAGGCAGGGCCACCAACCTCCCCATTTCATACTAGAGCAGGCTGCCCAGGACCCCATCCAACCTGGCCTTAAACACCTCCAGGGATGGGGCATCCACAACCTCTCAGGGCAGCCTGTTCCAGCACTCACTACTCTCATAGTAAAGAATTTCCCCCTGACATCCTACCTAAATCTTCCCTCCCTCAACTTAATACCATTTCCCCTTGTCCTGCAGTTATCAACCCTTTCAAAGAGTTGATTTCCCTCTTGTTTGTAGGCTTCTTTTAGGTACTGAAAGGCTGCAATGAGGTCACCCTGCAGCCTTCTTTTCTCCAGGCTGAACAAGCCCGGCTCCCTCAGCCTGTCCTCATAGGGGAGGTGCTCCAGTCCCCTGATCATCTTCCTGGCCTTCCTCTGGACCCTCTCCAACAGCTCCCTGTCTTTCTTGTATGTGGGCTCCAGACCTGGACACAGTACTCCGGATGGGGCCTCACAAGAGCAGAGTAGAGGGGGACAATCACCTCCCTGTCCCTGCTGGCCACCCCTCTTCTGATGGAGCCCAGGATCCCATTTGCCTTCCAAGCCCCAAGAGCACACTGCTGGCTCATGTTAAGCTTTTCATCCATCAGGACCCCCAGGTCCTTCTCCACAGGGCTGCTCTCAAGCACCGCTCTTTCTAGTTTTTATAGATGCCTGGGATTCCTCCTACCCAAGTGCAAAACCTTGTACTTTGCGGTGTTGAATCTCGTTAGGTTCACTCAGGCTCACCTTTCAAGTCTGTTGAGGTCCTTCTGAATGGCATCCCTTCCTTCCACCGTGCCAACTGCACCACTCAGCTTGGTGTCATCAGCAAATTGCTGAGGGTGCACTCGATTCCATCGATGCCACTGATAAAGTTGTTAAGAGCACCGGTCCCAAGACAGACCCCTGGGGACGCCACTTGTTACCGGCCTCCACCTGGACACAGAGCCATTGATGACCACCCTCTGTCTGCAGCCTTTCAACCAATTTCTTATCCATTGAGTGGTCCACCCATCAAATCCACATCCCTCCAATTTGGAGATAAGGGTGTGGTGGGGGACCATGTCACAGGCCTTGCTCAAGTCCAGGTAAATGACATCGGTCACCTTTCCCTTATCCTCCAATGCCGTCATTCCATCATAGAAGGCCACTAGATTGATTAAGCATGACCTTCCCCTGGTAAAGCTGTGCTGGCTGTCTCGGAATCACATGCTCATCCCTCATGTGATCAAGCATGTTGTCCAAGAAGATTTGTTCCATGATCATCCCAGGCACAGAGGTGAGACTCACTGGCCTGTAGTTCCCAGGGTCCTCCTTGCTCCCTTTTTTGTAAATGGCAGTGATGTGACCCTTCCTCCAGTCATCTGGGACCTCACTTGACAGCCATGACTTTTCAATATGATGGAGAGCAGCTCAGCAACCACCTCAGCCAGCTCCTTCAGAACCCTGGGATGCACGCCATCTGGCCCCATAGACTTGTACACATTCAGTCTCATGAGGCAGTCTCAGACCTATTCTGTCCTCACAGTGGGGGGGGATTTACCACCCCGGTCCACAGCTAGAGGTTTAGGGATGCAGGGCTCAGGGACTTGAGAAATGCTAGAATCCTGGCTGTCAGTGAAGACCGAGGCAAAGAACTCATTCAGTACCTCAGCCTTCTTTTCGTCTGTTGAAGACAGTTCTTTTTTTACATTTACCAAAGGAGGTACACTCACTTTGGCCTGTCTCTTCTAGCCAATGTACCTGTAGAATGTCTTCCTATTGTTTTTCACATCCCTCGGCAAGCTCAGTTCCACCTGCATCTTGGCTTTCCTGATCCCACGTCTGCAAGTCCGAATGACATCCCTGTGTTCTTCCCAGGTGACACGGTCTTGTTTGCAGAGCTTGTATGCACCTTTCTTCGCCCTCAGCTGCAGCAGGTCCTTACTGAGCCATGCCAGTTTCCTACCTCCTCTGCCTGCTTGCTTATTCAGAGGGATGGAGAGCTCTTGTGCTCTCTGGAAGGCATCCTTGAAGAGTAGCCAGCTCTCCTCAACATCTTTGTTTTTAAAGACAGCATCCCAGGGGATCTTGGCCAACAGTCCATTGAACAGCTTAAAGTTCGCTCTTCCAAAGTTCAGGGTCCTGACACCACCCATTGCCAGGCCCACATCCCTCGAGATCATGAACTTGACCAAGATGTTGTCACTTCAGCCCAGGCTGCCTCCAACCGTTAAGCTTTAATGATCTCCTCCGCATTTGTGAGCAGCAGATCCAGCACTGCATCACCTCTGGTTGGTCTGTCCAACACCTGGACCAGAAAGTTATCATCAGTGCATTCCAGGAGCCTCCTGGACCTCTTGCAGCTCACTGTTTGGTCTTTCCAACAGATATCAGGATGGTTGCCAAAAGGGCCTGTGAGCACGTGGCCTTCCACATCTGAAGCAAGAAAGCCTCATCAACAGTCTCCCCTTGATCAGGTGGCCTGTCGTATACGCCTATCACCAGCTGGCCTTTGTTAGTCCCATCACTAATTCTAACTCACAAGCTTTCAACCTGATCCTGACTGTTTCTCAGAGGGAGCTCCTCACAGTCTATCCAGTCTTTGACGTAGAGGGCAACTCCCCCACCCTTCCTACTTCACCTATCCCTTCTAAAGAGCCGATAGCCCTCAGTGGTGGTATTCTGGTTATGGAAGTGATCCCACCATGTTTCTGTGATAGCAACGAGGTCATAACTTTCCAAGCGCATCACGGTTTCCAACTCATCCTGCTTATTTCTCAGTCTGTGTGCATTGGTATAAAGGCGCTTCGGCTGGGCTTTCCATCTCACTGCCTTTATAGAGGATCTCGGATCCCCTAGAACTGCAGCATCCCCAGCATCCCCCTGCCCCAGTCCATCCTTTTGTACTCCACTGTCTTCACCCATCAAGTTTGGTACAAGCCCTCGGACGACCCGCTCAACCCCATCGGCCCTTGTTTTGTTCCCTTCCCCCTTCATACCTAGTTTAAAGACCTTTCAATGAGTCCTGCCAGTTCCTCGGCTAAGATCCTCTTACCCCTTGGAGACAGGCTACTTCCATCTGCAGCCATCATGCCAGGTGCCGAGTAGGTTGCCCCATGGTCAAGAAAAAACAGAATTTCTGTGTTCACACCAACTTCTAAGCCATTTATTTATGAGGTGGGTTTTTTGGATCCTCTGTTATTTCTGACAATTATGGAATTGTCCAAAATACAAGTTTTTTATTTATTTTCTTATTACTATGTCCAGCTTCTTTTCCAACCAATATCCGGTCTCCACATTCAAGGTATTGAATTGAGGGTTCGTTATCTTCCTCTTGCATCCTTCTTGCTGTGGTTTCTGCAAAACAAAGCCCAAGGACACAGGCCAGAAGCATCCTGCAGCCTGCTCCAGCTGGTTTCTGACCTGAGCAATGTAAGGAGCACTGTGCTGCCACTGTACCTTCAGTCCTAAACATTTAATTGGTCTGGCAGCTCCTGTATGGATATATGGCCTGGCTATTCTAAAGGAGCTAAATTTGAAGCATCTCCAGAGCAATGGTGACATAACTGACAGCAGTGATCATTTCCCTTGGGTGAAATGGTTCATTAGTTTTAAAGTGTTGGGACCATTAAAATGTGAGTGTGCCTCTTAAAATTTGAGGACAACGGGCCTTTATCCTGAAAAAGCTTTGAGGAAATTACATTGATTCCACTACCATTAGCTGTGCTGCTCAAATGAGTGAAGATTTGTTGGCTGTGCTTCCCATTTTTGTTAGCTATACTTTATTGCTGTAATTACACCCAGTGGCTTATCTAATAGACTCATGCTCTCATAAGGAAATTAATACAATTAATACTACTTTTAGCAAGAGTGAAATAGCAAGTAAAATTGAATTGAATTTGACCAAGCTCTTCTTTTTTTATTTCCTAGTATCTGAACTACAGGAAGAAGGAATGAATGCTATTAACTTGCCTCTCAGTCCGATTCCATTCGAACTAGACCCTGAGGACACTATGCTAGGTAATTCACAACGATTTTACATCTCAACATAGAAGCTTAATGTAAAATAAAGTGTCATGCCTGTAATTGTTTCTGATGTCTTTCTTTTAAACCTTCCAGAGGAAAATGAGGTCCGAACAATGGTCGATCCAAATTCAAGAAATGACCCAAAATTACAGGAACTAATGAAGGTAATGAAAAGCACGCAAACACTTTCAAGAAAATGAAACTATTTTTAATGCTACTCCTGCATCTTTCATTTGAAAGCTTCAAAGCTCTGTTTATATATTAATTAAGCGAAACCACATGGTGCATACATGCATGAACCAGACAGGTTAATTTTTGCTATAGGTGTGGCACAGAGTTTAACAATTTGGATTAAACTCCTGAGTCCCGATTCTTGGTCCTATCCCACCCTCTCAGTGTAAAATCATACTGACTTCCCTCATAGTCTTTGTGATTCTTAGGATAAGAATTTCAGCAGGAAGCTTCATTAGAATCAACTTCAACACCTTTTAATTCATGACAAAAATGTTACGATACTACTGAAATCAAATGACAGACTTCACTTCAGAAAGCAATATGTCAGTTGTCTGTTTGTCCAGACCTTGTGGTGCATTAACTCAGTCACCTTAGACGTGCTTCCTGAATCCTTCCTGTTTTCATCTGATAGTATTTCAGACTGACTGCACTTGAAATTCAAGCATTGCAGCTTCGGTATTCTTTCTGCTCGGTATTTTCAACATTGTACAAAATGACATATGTTTTAAATTGCAAATGAATAGTGTGTAATTCTGCCCAAATTTGTGTTTCCCATATAGGTATTAATAGACTGGATTAATGATGTGTTGGTAGGAGAGAGGATTATTGTGAAAGACTTGGCTGAAGACCTGTACGATGGACAAGTACTGCAGAAATTATTTGGTAAGAAAAAATTTATGTACACATGTTGGGTCACTCAGTAAGTGGTTCACTTGTTCCTACTTGGGAGCCTTGGTGTCATCTTACATTTATGCCACTAAGTGATATAAAAATAGCATTGTATTATGAGACCCTTGAGCGATAGCCTGTATGCACAGTCCTCATAGCTACAGTGCAATGTATGGTGCTCTGTAGTTGATGAGAACAGCATAAAGTCTACCTGGGGTGCTGGAGGGTGCTGGGTTTCTTGTCTTGGCAGCAGAATTCACTCCAATTGAATTTATTATCTGCATATGTGCTGTACAAACTTAACAGTGTTAGAAGTGGAAAGTAAGTTTAAAAGCAAGGGTATTTTCAGTACAATGGTGGATGTTTTTAATCTGGGCTGGTTCCATACTGTAGTTTAGTCACATCTTGGAGTTCCTCTGGAAAGCTGGAATTTCTTTCTGATTTGATGTCTGGCTCTTAACGTTACTGAGGTAATGATACCCGGTGGACTGCAAACTGAACTTCAGCTGAGAAACAGATAGAGAAAAGAGACTGCTAATACAGAGCTGGCACGTCTTTTTTAACTGTTGGCTTGGAAGCCACTTTCTTAGTTATTACAGCTCGTAAAATCTCCAGTAAATTTCTTTTCAGTATCTTAAATGAATCCTGAAACATTATGTGAGCACTTCTAATAAAGTGTACACAGACTATTCCCTTCTTTGAATGGTTAAGCTATTGAATATATTGTGGTGGAATGGATATGACCCAGATTGAGCAACTTGATTCTTATGGGCAGGCCTCCAGTGACTTCACCCAAACCCCCAAAAATGCAAAGCAGATACAGACTGAGTCTAAATATGCAAATAGTGATCTGGCATTTATTGATTTCAGTGGAATCTTTTCTATTATCTTTGTTCCTTGTGGATCGTCTGTTCTAAGATTCTGATTTTGTGAGACCATGCTCAGACTGATTCCTGTGGAGGCATGAGAAACTCATGGAGATAGCAACTTTTCGGGCAGAACTCATAAGCTGGTAGACTCACTGTATTTGGGAAGATATGCAATTGACTTCAGCTGAGAGCAAGACCAGCTTTTACCAAACTTGATAACATATTCTTTTGCAAAAGAAAATTGATAGGTGATCAAGCATTCTGTCTCTGATGTTATAAGGAAGCTTTTATTGCTGAATTTTCTTCACTTCATAATTAATGGCTGTGAGGTTCCTGGCAGTTTTACAGAACATTAGTGTTATCTTTTATAGCAATAATAATGGAGGTTGTTTCTCTTCCTATGTCTCTGTTAAATCCATGGAGCAGTGTGCTGGTTCTCCTGAGACAGGGCAAACATCCCATACGTTTTTTTCTTCTCTGCGTATAAATGAGTTATGCATTTCCTCTTTGCACATCTGTCTTCAGTTAATTTCATGCTCACACTTTCAGAAGTTTAATGGAGATACTACTTTTGAATTGATCTATCTAAACCATTACACACTACTGTGTAGATCCAGTTCACACCAGACTTTTATCCAGACTAAAATTGATCTTGCTTAAATCTGTTTAAAGCAAACTATACTGAGTTGATATAAGCCAAGCAACCTGTACTGATTATTTACAAAGTCATAAGATAATTTAAAATCTAGTGCAAATTTCAAAGGGCTGTGATTTCACAGAAATAAATTGCCCAATGTTTTTGTTGATTTCATGCCTCCAGAAATACTTGCTCACATTTATTGGGTGCATCTTCCACCTCAGTGAATATGATGCCACTTCACTTTTATCACATCTGGGCAGGAAAATTTTTAAACCTCTTGAATCTGAGGGAGAAGCCACGAGGTTTTCAGTGATGAAACTAGTCTTGAAGTTGGTGTTTATCTCTCCTAGGTGTGCTGGTCTGCTGTACAAGCCAGTTACATGCAGATTACTCTCTATTCAGTAGCAATTGAAGTAACAGGTTTTACCTCTCAATCTGATGGGATTTGCAACAAATTCTTATTAGCCTGTTGTTGTGGTTATCTTTACAAGTTCAGAAAGGCAGAGGGGAGTGGTTCTGTACACCAAAGCAAATCATTCTTGAACTAGGAAGTCTGATACCTGTTGAACATTTGTCTGGCTGCATGCGATGTGGAGTTCACTGGCTCTTTTTTCTTCACTTCAGAGAAGCTTGAGAGTGAGAAGCTGAATGTTGCTGAAGTTACTCAGTCTGAAATTGCTCAGAAACAGAAGCTACAGACAGTCCTTGAGAAGATCAATGAAACGCTTAAGCTCCCGCCAAGAAGCATTAAGTGGAATGTTGACTGTAAGTTGTTTGTTTTCTGTGCTGTTCCCATTAGTTGACAGCTGAGAGTTTGTAGTTGCTATCTGGAATTCTTAAATACCTAATGCTAAAAGAAAGCTGAAACCTGGTATTTATGGTAGGAGCTATTCTTCAGTAGGAGGTCAGAGAAAGAGAGAACACATGCAGTACACTCTGCTCTCTTTCCTTCTGCTCAGCCTCCAATTTAAACTTTCTTTAGGGGAAATACTTTATTTCTGCTCTTAACTCCATCTGCATACCACCTTAAGTTTTCTGTTACTAACTTGGTTTCTTGAAAGGGGCAGGTAAATGCATGAGTGCCGAGGAAGAGGTAGATCCAGGTCTACTGCATTTGTATAAGATGTACAGTTTATATATTGATATTTTTGGTTGTTGAGGACAAAATCTGAGCTACTGCTTTTGATTACAAAACTCTCTTCTATATTAGTGCTCACTATACTACTACTATACTACTGCCTCATTATATTAGTGCTATACCATTCCTGTTCTGTTGTATTTTAAATGAACTTAGAAGTACCAACATAGAAATGATTAACACAATATATATGTGCTGCAGAAAGCAGGTTATCAACAGTGTTGGAAAATTGAGCCCCTTAATCTTTTTAAAGTTTTCATCCTAGTAAACACCTGGATCAGCATGTAGCTGTTTCCAATACTTGAGCTGAACTGTTTTGTGTCACATATTCTAGTTACAACCACTCTTTGATAGGGAAAGAAAGGGCTCCAGGATGGAGGAGTGAACATTTGACTTTCTCCTTTGTATCTTCTCCCTGAGTTTCCTGTCCTCTTCTCTTCTCTCTCTAGCCTTTCTCTCTGGTTTGGGGCTTTTTTTTTTTTTTTTTCCATTTTCTGTTATACAGCTGGATACAGGGTGTTTGGAACAGCCTGCTGATTTAACTTCCAGTTTTAAACTGAAGTTTTACATGTGTTTTAGAGCTGAAGATAGACTGCAGCAGCTGTAGCCAGCTGTAGCACACATTGATGCTAGGCAGGCAGACATCTTGTAGCATTCTGCTAAAGCACTTCATCCCTTACCACTGGCACCCCAGCAGAATTTGACAGTGATATCACATTTTATATGTATGGTGGGTAGTGAAATCTCTGCTGCATAATTGAGGCTTGTGCTGGAAGATAATGAATAGTATGTGAGTGAATCTGATTACCTTAAAATTACCTTAAAATGAAGTAAGGTAGTAGTTATTGGTTAGTTCGTACATAAAATAGTTAAGTTCACTGTACTGTAGCTGTCAAAAGTTGTTTTGGACTACTACTTTGGGGAAGACTATGAGTGCAAAAAAAAAAAAAAAGAGGCGTGTGAAAGAGTAATAAGAATTAGAATTAAGATTCATTTTGATGTCAGTGGATTGATACCTGATTAAAAATTTCCTACAGTACAGTTTTTGATATCTTGTAAGTCATGTTAGTGTTAACTACCCATATGAAACCTGCTGTGAAAAAGCTTCAAATAACAAGAACTGTAACAACTTCATGGAGGAATGTTTGAGTCATTGAGTTTAGTAAGTTATTGCTTAGGGCTTCTGCCAAAATAGGCTCGTTTATTATCCTGCAGACTTTGTGACACTTACAAATGAATAAGTGCATGTTATGAATACAAAAATATCTTTCTGATAGTCCATAAATCCTTATTGAAGTAAAGGGAATAAAAGGAAAGTCGAGGAGATTGTGTAGGCATCACTGAAGCTGTCGTACATGAAATCTGGCTTTTGGATTAGCTTTAGATTTCTGTCTACACTAGTCTATGGCATCCAGACATGTTGCAAAAACTGATGCTTTGGTGCTGACAAATATTACTGACTGGGTTGCATTCACATGACTTTTTGAGCAGGAGGAAAATAAAGGAAAGTTTCCTTAAAAGTGCCCCTGGCTCCAGGTGGGAAGTGGAAGAGAGTCCCATAATCCCTGCATCCTAAACAGTAAAAATGCATGCTCTAGTAACGTTGCATTTTGTAACTTGTGCTTTTAATATCTATTTCAGCTGTTCATGCTAAAAGTCTGGTAGCAATACTTCATCTTCTGGTTGCGTTATCGCAGTACTTTCGAGCACCAATCAGACTTCCAGATCATGTGTCCATTCAGGTTGTTGTTGTGCAGGTAAGAGAGGTGTTAAACAGCTCCTCGCAGCATTGGGAAATAGAATAAGAGGTTTTTCCTTCGAAAAAGACATCTAGAGTTTCTGTTAGGGCATACATGTGTATATCTCTTTGGCTGACAAGAATCACACGTGCATCTTCCCTGCTGACATTGCTTCAACCACAGAAAGGCAGAAGTGCTTTCCCAGATTGAATTGTGGCTCAGAATGTCATGTTTTGAAGTGGCCAGGCTCTGACATTAAAAATACATGAAGTGTTCTTATTGTTGGAATATATTTACTTATCACACAGTATGATCTCTTGAATATCTATTTTTCCCATTTTTTGGCAATATTCTCACTTGTGTAGAGATTCAAATCTTTCTTGGCGCTGAATGATGAATTGTCACTGTTTATTACATTTAGATTCATGTGAGGTGACTAAATATTCTTTTTCAGCATTGTGCATGCTAATTTAGTCTGATTACAGTCTTGGCTTTCTCATAAGCATGCAAAAAAAACCCATCAACTAAATCTTTTGTGTCAGTCAGTCTTCTTATTAGAGCCACATCCATCCAAACTCCTTATGTTATTCTGTTTACTATTTTGGTTTCAGTTGGGCTTGTGCTTGCTCTATCTTGTTTGGCCTCTTCCCGTTTAATTTGCTTTTCTTTTCCTCCAGCTAACTTTGTCTTTACTTTTCACGCCATAACTGTCACTATTTGCGTTTTAACTAATGTAATGCTGAACAATCAGCTGCAGTGCACTGTTTCTCAAGTGTTGCTTTCTGAAAATAAGTGTCAAGTTTGAGAAAGTTACTTCTCTTTTTTCAGGATTCACATCAGACAGATTTTGTAATTTAGGGGGGAATCTGAAGGAGAATTTCTGATAGATGATCAGCGATGCATTCACTGACTGTCAGATTCTACTTGTTGGGTTTCTCCTCAGTGGATGGCAGTGAAGCCCAGGAAATACACAGTTATGCATCTAAGGCTTCAGAGGAACATTCTCAAACATTTTCCTTTAAATATTATAAACATATTTATCATCCTGGTTTATCTCAGAGTTCTAGTAAAAACAACTTACGGCACCAAAAGTGTAGCAGCCAGGGCATCTTTGGGATAAGAAACTAAAAAAGAACATTGTAGTCCTTAAATAAAGAACCAGATCTTGCATTCTGTTGTCACTCTGTATGTCCAGACCAAACTCCCATTGAAATCGATGGACATAATTCTCCTCTTGTTTAATAGGCTAATGTAGTTCAACAGCAAATCCACTGAAGTCAGTAGAGATAAACCAATTTAAAAACAATAAGTAGTGGGAGAATCTGGCTGAGTGCTTTGCCTCTTAGCTACACAGCGGTAGCTCAGGCGCCAGCAGATTGCAGAGAGAGCAGTTGCACCAAAATAACTTGGAGCAGTTGCACCAAAATAAGTTATGCTGCTGAAGATTTCTCACTGCAGAACCAGTCCTTGATGAAAGCCAGCCAGTTGAACTCCAAGGCTGTGTTAATTCCTATTAACAGAGGGTGGTGGCCATTATTCTTACTTGTTTTTCTTCGAGACGTTTTTCATTTCTATTTTATGGAGGGTGTTTTTTTATTTTTTTAAGTCCACCTTTCATATCCTTTGGGATTGGTTCTGTATTTTTCATCACCATGAACTCAATGAAAATTTTAATCAGCAATCAGCAGAACATAAGGCATAATTTGATGTTCAGGCTTGTATGCTTGATGTTCTAAACCCTCATACATCCTGTAAAGTAAGGTCGTGCCTAAGGAAGCTCAGCAGACTCTGTTAGCTGATTTTAAATTCAACTGTACACAATTAATAAAGGGAGTAGGAGAAAAAAAGGAAGACTACCTTAATTCAGTTAGTATTTCAGTAGGTGTAGAAATGCACCAAATGTGAGGGTTGTGTTGGCTGGATGTAGCTTAGTGAAGTAGAAAGATATTTCTGAAACAAAAACTCTGCTCATATCCAACAGGTAATCAGCACAGTTCTTACGAAAGCTTCTGTTTCCTTTGGCTGTTCTTTAAAAAAAACTGTTAGCAATGAGACTGTTATGAAATACGTGTGCTAAGCTGATTTGTGAAAAATTGGTACTTGGATCTTTTGTAGCTATTTTGTTATATTGCTTTCCTTTCCTTCTAGACTGATAGAATGAGTAACTCTGAACAAAGCCCAGACTTTGTTTGATCTTGTCTGCTGAAACAATTGAGAGTATTTGTGGAGAGCTGGATCTTTCTGCTTTTTTTTTTTACTTTTCTTTAGTTAATTAGTTATGCCATCCTTCAATGGTTAAATGACAGATTGTGCGAGTGAGAGATTATAAGAATGCATTTGTAGAGCTGTCGGGGCAACAAAGCAGCTAGCCATTGCTTATAGAAAACTGATTATGTACAGCTGATGCAAAGGCAAATGAAGAGACCCTTTCCATTTCTTACCTAGCTTTCAGGTGTTTTTTATTTGTTTGCTCTACATTCAGCTACCAAATTCAGACAATACGTAAGTAGGAAGGCCTTGGCCTTTAGTGGAGTCTTTCAGCTGGGAGGGAGCAAAATGCTAAGCCTATCCAAATAAAGTTTTTCAAGTATCCAACAGATGCATCTCATATTTGGGCAACCTGGAAACTCCAATAATGTAATTATTTTTACTTTTTTATCAACAATAAAATCAGAATGCGGAATTCTTATTCATATTAACACTAGTTATCAAAAAGTGAAATATGTTTTCTATTAATATTAAAAAAGGCTTTAGGTCATGTTGCACATTTGCAGAGGGAAAGCAAAGTATTAGAAGCCATTTTCTTCCTTGTATAAGCAGACAGGGAACTGAGAAGTACAGTTGCCATTACTGTGGCACTTAGTCACAGGAAGGTAGAGTGATGGGGCTTTTGCTCCAAAACACATCATTGGCACATCAGAATCATCATCAAGAGGAAATAGAAAAATACCTTTCACTCTGCATCAAAGGAGAAAAAAAACACAAACCGGAGTGTAATTCTAATTTGAGCTAGATTGTAACTTTGACTTCAGATGCTTATTCTCTGCACAGTCTGGAGGTGAGTGTAGTCCTAGATGATGCAGTTTTTCTTCAGACTTTCAAGATACATGATGGAAGGGATAGGAATCTCAGCAGCTGATCTGTGTCTCCTCTTTCAGTCTGTAATACACTGGACTCCACTCTGTTTTTATGTTTAAAGTTCCTCCTTAAAAGTGTTTTAACCATATGCAAGAGGTTTAGTAATGGAGCTTTAAAAAAGGTGAAGGAAATCCCCTGAAACTACATCACCTATCTAGAAGGACAATTGAGGTTATTTGAAGTACCAGTCTGAAGTGACCAAGAGTTTGCTATGTGCGGCTTTCTTGCGAACCCGGCCAAATCCTCAGCACGTCATTAACCCAGGGCTGCCTCTGGTGGGGCGTGTATTATCTTTTCCAAAGCAAGGAAGAGCAATAGCTCCAGTTGACATGCCATGAAGGATTTTTCCAAATTGTTACTCTCCTTTTTTCCACATAGAAGACAAGTCTGGGACCAGCATAAATTTATTTTTCTTATTTCCTTGTATGGCAAGGAGTGAAGAATCATGAATAATTGCCTAATGTCTAGACTTTACATGCAGTCGTCAGCAATGGCCTGGCTTTTCTTTCTGTATTGCAAAATTTTGCTAATTTCAGTGAATAGAATTAACAGAAAGAACACAAAGAGAAGCAAAACATACGTGTGGTATGTATGCCACTACCAGATGACTGTAGTCAGCATCCTGGAAACAGTGTGAAATTTTTTCAACTACTTCATTTTCCAACTGACTCAAATTGCTACCATTTGAGTTGGCTTCTGCCATTTTGTGCACAGCTTCTAGACACAGGATTCTAAATACCACATATGAAGGGCTTCTCACATCAGAAGAGCACTGGAGCTAAAGCATATGTTAACACCATGATGAGTAGGTTCTGGAGCACACTGTAAATGGATTATCCTCCATTTTGGCTTTCCATCACAAGCAAATAGAGCCCTTTGTGTGGAAAGTAGTCAGGAAAAGAAAAGACCAAGGTGAAAAAAAAGAAGTACATGAGCAAGGCAGAAAGAACAGGTAGCTTAAGAGCAAGATTTTACCAAAGACGAAGCATGGGCACCATCTGCCAAAGTATTCCTTGAAATATAAGGTTTAATTCAACTCACTAAGAAATAAATCTACTGAAGTACTTACATATGCGCTTAAGTGTTTCAAATACCTCGCTGAATTGGGGCCCTTAAAAGAAAAGTGAGTTAAGAACAATGAAGAGAAGAAATACTTCCTTCTACAGGTGGAGTTTCAAGTTTCTTGTTACTGTACAAGAGAGTTTTCTGAAATAATTCCAAGGTGAAATAATATATTACTGCAAGTTTGCTTTTTAAAAAAAAAAAGCGGTTCTTGTTTTGTAGATTTCTTATCTGATGGCACTTGTAGATCACAACTACATTTTTACTGTACCCTAACCATTAAAATGTCCTTCTTTATTTCTTCCAGAAACGAGAAGGAATCCTCCAGTCTCGACAAGTCCAAGAGGAAATAACTGGTAACACCGAGTATGTCAACACCGCTTTTGCCAGCAGTTCAGTAATTGAACGCAGATGCTTCTCAGAAATTCAAGCATTTGCTGATATTTAGATTTTGGTATTGGGGTCCAGGGAAGATGATGCATCAGCCAGTAATTGTACTTTAGCCTCTGCAAGGGCTGCAGACATGCATCTAAAAATACAAAAGGGTGTGGAAACACAGAGCTGCGGAACTAAAAGCAGGAGACCAAGATAATAGAGAAGGGTGAAGATATTCAAAATTTATGTATTTTCTATTTATTGCTATTTACTTCCATAGTTATTGTTTTTCTTATTATTGTATTCAAAAGGCCTTGAAACATACAAAAATATGTCTCATTCTTTCATATTGGTATTTATTTGATACAGGAGAACTAGATTCTTTGGAATGCAATATGGCTTTTATTTTTTGAGCCACTTGGACTTCAGGGATGTGAAAAATGATAGTGTTAGTCTCTGTTATGTGTCATCTCACCAAGCAACTCATAGCAGAAAAGTTATTCCAAACCAACAGAAAATAGTAGAAGAATATCCATGTTCCTAATAGATTGGAGAGAATTCAGACTAATGACTTTTTATTAAACTTTAGATTAATATATGCACAATATTTATGTGAGAGTGCCACTGAAGCAAAATGCTGTAGTTATTAAGAATGCAGTCCAAGCACTGTCCTGGCTGGAATTGTATTGCAGGTGTTGTGATAAATGCATTTATGGCAAAGGGAAAGTTTTTCACCAAATCAACATGAAAATGTTGTCTTTACTGAGGCAAGGTATGTTGATTTGGTCGCTCAGCAGTAGGAAATCTGAGAACTGGCCTTCCTATGAGACTCTGTGAATCCAGGAGATATTATGCTGATTTACTCCAGACTAATCCAAAGTCTCAGCTGGGATAACTTGATGAGGATTTTCTTAATCCCATGAATTTCCTCCAGTTTTCACCAAGCTGAAGATCTGACCACATACACTGTTTTATTTTGCAGTACAGTGTCTGCAAGTGGATTACATATTTAACTGCTTTTTTTTGTTTTGTTTTGTTTTGTTTTCCACAGGGCATTTTCAGGAAGACATGGTAAGTTCATATGATTGTTATCTTCTTAAGTCATCCAAAGAATACATCAGTTCTGGAATGAGTGGATGGAATGAATGGAATTGATTAATCTGCAAGGAAGTAGAGGATTTCTAATTGATCTGATTCAGATATGAATATATCTGCCACAGACTGTTCTGGCAGTTAACAAAGGGAGAAAAGCATTAAAATCAATGTGACCATCTTTAAAACACATTTCAGTACTTCTCAGCTCGTGCTAGTTTGCAGATGCTTTACGGTTTAGCCTCCAGAACATTATTGAAATAATATTAATGATCATAATCTCCCAGCATAATATGAAATGATATCTTACGATAAACTCACTGGTGAACATGTTGGCATTCTTGTATCCATTACCTACTTAACTCTTAAATGACTTAGGGTCATTCTTCAGCGTATTTCTGTGCCAGTTAAGTCTCATGGTTAGTACTGAGACTGGCCAAATGCCTGGCCAGCACAACACAATCATCTGAGGAGCTTAGATGGACACCCACCAAGAATTCAACATTTATTTCTTATATTGTCTCAGTCGTTGCCTTACTGCTGAGTTAAAGACTGGAGGCATGCCATTTTCCCATGATATCTGAGAGCAGCCTTACTTCCTATAGTCTGCCTTCTACGAATGCCTTTAGATTTACTCTTAGCATTTTTTTGAGGAATACAAATGCAATTTTTTGTCATTCTCTATCACTTGTGTTGTCCAAATGGCAATTGCTCTTCTTCTTTTTTTCTTTTTTTTTTTTCCTTCAGAAGGTAACCACCGTACTGTTGTAGTCATTTTACTTTAGGTTGCCTGTCCTGCTAACCGTGTCCTAAATTGCATATCAGAATGGTCCAAGAACATCTATGCAAAAGAGTTCTTCACAGCTGTGTAGTTGTAAGCTTGCCTGAGGTGGTTAATAACACAGCAGTCAGCTGAGCGATATATGCATATTGTGGCCCCAGGGAAAATTTTCCTCTGTAGTAACTCCAGATATAAAGTCATATTCTTCTGAACAAAATAAGTTGGTTACTTTAGCTCCCTGCTCCCTGTGTAAAGTTCAATGCATAAATATTCTACTCTGCTCATTTTTTGAGAAACAGGGTTATTAAGCAGCCCAAATTGTACTTGAAAATAGTGCTTTCTCTAAATAATAGAGAATAAATTACAAGCAGCCTGAAGCAAGAGAGAAATATGCAAAATATTTAGTACTTGGAATACAAAGAGACTGTATTGAAACGTTTTATTGATTCTGTTGTCTTAAGCAAGTGTGTGCTTAATCAAGTGTTTATCAAGTGTTTAATGTATTTGGACAAGTGCTTCGAAGTGCATTAACATCTCTGAATGTTTTTCAGAAAGAGATGCATTTGACACGCTATTTGACCATGCTCCAGACAAGCTCAGCGTAGTAAAGAAGGTTGGAAGGGTTCTATTTTAATAAGTACAGCATGTGTCTACATGCTTGTGTGTGTTTATGTAGTGTGTGTGTATGTATATAATATAAAATAGACATCATTTGCATGCATTAAATACAATTAAACTTTCTGCTGAAAACAAAAATAGAAATTCATTACTATAATGTTTCTTTTTGATAGTATTTAGCAACATGAACTTAAATTTGGAACGCAAAAAAAGATGAAGTTCTCAAAGTTTCCATCAAAAAGAAATTCTCACAAAGTACATGTTGATTAAAACCCAGCTGGGTTGATCGAGTTTAATGACAGGAAAAGCTATGCAGTTTGCAGCTGCCAGTAGCCTGACCTGGAGGATTTGGGCTCTTGTCAGATTTGAGTGAAGTCCAATTCATCCACTTCCCTACAGTCTGCCACAAGATTTTTTTTTTTTTTTTTTTTTTTTTGAAGCTGTTGCATTGTAGCAGTGATTTTTTTATTCATATAATTGTGTTTATTTTATTTCAATTTATCATTCTTTAAAAAAAAAATTAAAAATCTCATAATTCGGTTTTAAAATCTAAAAAAATAATTGTACTGCAGTCTCCTTGCTCTTACAAGTTCTGCTCTGAGTGGATTGCATACTCTGCGTCTGGAACAGGTGCCCCACTGAATAGACCTTCACTAAACTGTTTTCACGTTTCAGACTCTCATCACATTTGTGAACAAGCATCTCAACAAATTGAATTTGGAGGTCACTGAACTGGAGACCCAGGTAGGATTTTATAGCTTTTGTTGAAGGAGAGGGTCACTTGTGCTGTGTAATGCACTATGCCCCCAGCTTTATGCAGAAATACAACTGAATTGCTATTGATCAGGCTCTGAGATGTTATTTCAGTGGGAAACCCTCCAGTTTTAGATATATTCATATGAGGAGAACCCTCACCAGTTAAGCAGAGAAATCATAAGGGCAACAGTTTCGTACTTTAATTAGCATAAAAATTAGTTAGCAGATGCTACCTCTTGGGTGCTGCTAAGTGCTGTAAGAAGAACCTGTGCCTGTTTTCATCAGGAGAGGCTCCGTCTGCTTGGTTTGAAACAGTTTCAAGATGAACAGTTGTTTCCTGCCTACCTTTACACTAGCAAGTAATCTCATGGGATTACAATGGCTCTATTCAGTAAGATGAATTCTTGAGACAGAAGCTGCTCAAGTGTATAGGCAGCTGTACAGTTGAGCTGCAGGCTTGATTGCGCCACAGAAATAATGTGGTCCATGGTCTTCTTTTCCTGTTCTCAGATGCTAAATTGGCTAGAAAGAAGCTAAAAGAAAAGCTTTATTCTGTGGTATTAAAAAATCCTTATATGAACAACTGCAGCAGGAGGTCAGACAGGAAGGAGGCTACCCACACTAGAAAAAAACTGGTGTCTTCACAACAGGCTTTATTTAATGTCTTGATATGTGCTATTAAGAATCTCTGGTTTATTTGAATAACTTTCACTCTGATAGAGGTTTTTTAAAGGTAAAATTGAGTTTTAGATGGAAAGGGCTTTCAGAAAAGTGTTACTGTGCGTGCATATTGCATTGTTTAATTTTGGGGAAAAAAATGTGTTATTCAAACATGCCTGGAAACACCTTAAGCATCTATCCAAAACAGTACTCTCTAAGGTGAGAGATTCTGTTTCTATCAATTGAAACAAAATAAGCTACCTCAGGAAGATAGAATGATAGAATCAATTACATTGGAAAGGGCCCTTAGGATCAAAAAATGCCACCACTAAACCATGTCCCTTAGCATCACATCCTGATAAGAACCTCCAGGGAAGCTGATTCCTCCACTTCCCTGAGCAGCCTGTTCCAACACCTGGCCATCCTTTCTGTGTAAAAGTTCTTCCTTTTATCCAGTTGAAATCTCTCCAACACATCCTGGGGCCATTTCCTTGTGACTTATTGCTTGTCATCTGAGAAAAGAGGCTGACACCCACCTCGCTTACAGTCTCCCTTCAGGTTATAGTTTGTTTCTGGTATCTCAGAGTTTGATTATGGTAGACTTAATGCCACAGGGTTACGAATGAGATGCCTTGAACAAAGTCTCATGAATGTTACTAATTTTTAGATAGAGATGAGTGTGTAACGTGGAAATTTTAATTCTTTATTCCTTTATTTTCTTCAACATACTGAACTTCAGTGCAGTCATCAGTGCACCTTTGTTCTGCTTTTCTCTGCTCAGAAGAACGTGTGCTAATTTATAGCTTGAAAAGTGGTTGTTCTGATTTCCTGCAACTAGCAGAATAGAAAACAAAGACACAGGTCAAAGTTGCTGACCATTGCTTTCTACAGAAACTTTATTCTGCGCGTGTATTCAGCAAAAATACTGAGAAGTGTCTTTTTTACAGTTTGCAGATGGTGTGTACTTAGTGCTGCTAATGGGTCTCCTAGAAGGCTATTTTGTTCCTCTCCACAGCTTTTTCTTGACTCCTGATAGTTTTGAACAAAAGGTAATGAGATTTCATTTTTCTCTTACAAACAAAACAAAAACCATCTAAGCAAACATACCTATTGTTTTAGGGATGATACTGACTTTTCTGTATAGGTTCAGTGTTGATAGCTGAAAACCAAAGAGAACAGGGCTGAACTGGTAACCATTTCCAAGCATTTTTCAAAATCTCAGTGTTGATACTTATTCAGAATAAAAGGGAAAATTATATTAATGATAGGGTGTCTAGCAAATATTAACTGATTTTGGCAACCATTGTGTGATGCTGTCATTGAGCCAGCCTTAGTGTTCATTAAAATTATACGCAAATTGAGGACAGGACTGATTTTTTTTGAGCCCAACATCAAAGAATTTTACATTTCAAGTTTCATATTTTTTGAAAGCCTGAAGACATGTATGTACTATGTATCATTTTAAGACTAACCATTACCCTGATGTCTGTTGCTTTGTAAGCAATTCAGCTATCGAAGATGCACACTACATAAGCCATCATGTTCCAGTTTGTAAACTTGGAGGACGGTTTTTTGTATGTGTAATGTTAGTTCACATGCTACTTTACAGTTACTTTCATATTTCTGAAACACTTTCACCACCCAGAAAAGAATAAATAAATAAATAAATAAATAAAGGATTGTCTAGATTGATTTAGATTGATCTAGATGCAGATTTGAGTTTTTTTTCCTTCCCAGCATATAGATTTTCAGCTTTAAATGCATCTTGATTTGACCTTTTTTAGTATACTGTGTATAGATCATAATAACAACTGCCTGTATCATATTACTAGGTCCTCAATGTGTCCTTTGCATTTGAGCTAATGCAAGATGGTGGATTGGAAAAACCAAAGCCTAGACCAGAAGGTATCTATGTTACTTTTTTTGCACCTCTTAAAAAAAAGTGTGTTAGATCCAGATCTCATAGGGTTTTGTTACAGCTAAATAAAGGTTAAAATGTGAATGAGGTAGAGAAAGTTGAGGCACATTCTGAAGTGCTCAGGTGACTGAAGGTGAAGGTTTTATTGCTGACCTCAGCAGGACCACAATTCCACTCCTCTTCACTTATATAAATACAAGATTTAAATCCAGCTTTTCAGGCTGTATATAAGACTCTTGATTCCCTGTAGTATGAGGTACTCATATGATTTCTGTTGTTCTTGCCATGGGCTTGCTGGATATGCAGCCCTTCCCAATGGTGGTAGCTGGGTGCTGCAGGTTACCTACCACAGTAATTAATGTATTTGTCCTACCGTAATACTGGATCATTATTTCCTCAGGAATGATAGAAACTGATGCTTCGACTTCTTATATTAAGGACACTGGAGATTCTGACACAGTTAATCAATTTCTGCTCTGTTCTGCTCTTTTTTCATCCCTCCTGACCTCCAAATTGTGACATCAGCAGGCATGTGCACAGAATTATGTCTGAGGACTGAGCCTATGCCACCTATGCATTTAATCTGCATCTACCCAGCCTACTTCATCACTTCTCTTGATTGCTTCACAATCATATTTAACTGCAGCAGTGGTGACTGTGTCACAAACTTCTGTGTTTGAAACGGTCAAAAAGAGAAGAGGAAAACAGCGAAATCTAGAGATCCAAGTAAAACAGAGAATATCTGTGATCCCTTGTTTCTGTGGAGGTTTAAAATTCTTATGGCATTTAACTTTGGGGGTATTTATTGCTCCAGGGGACAGCTAATTTTTCCAGTATAAATCAAGCCATAAGGATATTTCAGCATATATAAGACATTTCTTGTGCAATTATTGAAATGCTTAATACGAAACTTCCTGCCCAATGTGAATGGAAAAGCACTTCTGTTTTATGTGTTGTTACACTGGGCACAATGCCCATACTTAAAATTTCCAGTGAGCAAAAGAGCATTGAAAAGAATTTTACCCTAAATGCATAGACTAAATACTCTTTAAATTCCTACACTGTTTCTTTGAGGTTCTTGGGGGAAAAGAAATGCTGAAAAGTGCTTCAGAATATGAAAAACATATTTAGTGGAAAAAAGAATGTGGCTGAATAAATGAGTATGAAAACCAATGATTTTTATGGGGTCAACAGTTTATTTGGCTTGTTTGCAATATAATTGGAAGAGTATTAAAAAGCTTTCCATGACCTTTTACTTTAAAAATGGCCAGAACATTAATTTACTGAGTCTATAACAAATTCATTTGCAGTTTGAGCTTTTCAGACTACTTCTTGAAACGTGTAAATCAAAGCCAAACTGAAATTCCGCTTTTTGAAAATTGTAACCAGTAAAACGTTATACACGTCAAACACAATTAGCAATGGAAATAAATCTTTCTTTCTCATGGAGCACTTTGCTTTTTGCTGTGGGCCTTTCTCTGGAATTCTGTTCTGGTGATGGAATCATCTGGTAATTTTTTCAAAGGCTTGTGAAGAGATACAGAATGTATCTCTTCATTCATTTGAAGTTCTGTGTTAGGAAATGAAAGCGTTATGCAGCTCAATTCTGGCATGAAAGAAGAAACTTTCTGAACTATGTGCAAACAGTACTACAAAGTGTAATGTGATGTTGTGGGACAAAATGCCTTTCCTGTAGATTTTGGCATTTTTTCTTCATTCTGTAGCAAGCATTTTTTTATCTGATTTACTAAGAATCACAAAACTTTTTGGCCATGATTTCATGACCGTGCGTAATCTCATCAAGAAACGTAGGTTTGTCTGTTTTCAATCTTTATCCATGGATGTCATTTTGCCATATGGCTAATACGTAGGCTGCTCTAAAAGTAATGCCTGCTATTTATTTCCATGGAAGGTACAACAGTTACAGAAAGCACAATAACACTATTGGACAGAGAAAATTCTCAGCTGCAGTACACTGTTTTTCAACATAGTCACCACCATTAATTACCTGTGCATTTTTACCAGCAACGAATAACAGCCTGCATGCTGCGCTTGTAAAAGTCTGCACCAGTGGAGATGACCCCCTGTTGCCGCTGCTGAAATGCACCACCCACCACCTCTCTGTGTTCACTTCTGCTCTTTGGTCTCAATACACATTCAGCAAGTGTCGTTTGAATGTCAGTGGGTGAAGTTTTTTCCCCTTCAGTGTCAGGCACCATTTTGTCAGAGTGCCCCTCTGCTGCCATCCGTCACATGGCAACAGCATGTAACAGAATATTGGTGGAAAGATTCAACCACTACTGCTGTCCCACCAACATCTGCCTCTGACATTGTGGGTCAATGTAATGACATTACTTTCAGAGCAGCCCTGGTGTCTTTAGCCTTTCACAGCATGGTTTGGAACAGCATACATAGCTTTGATTGAATTCATTCTTCCAAGTATAACCCCTTCACCGTCTGCGAGAAACATCAGCAAAGGTGGATATAATGGCAAAACTGGTAAAGTCATCTGGTGATTACATACACAGTTTAATGGGTTTCCTTGGAAGCTTTGAAAATAGTGAGAGTATGCACACCAGCAGCTTTACACCTTCATGGCTAGCTCTAAGGACCAAAGCTAGGAGACTGAGTTCCTGTACAGTTGTCAAAAAGAAAGGAGCCTTTCTGGTGGGTAGTTCCTAAGACCCTATTTGAGATTAAATATCCCTTGAAGCATGAATATAGCCTGCTGCAATGGTACATGTCAGTTTGTTTTATAGATTTCTTGTGAAATAATATTGACTTTCTCAACAACTTCCCTTGGAAACAGCAGGTATTCATTAACTTTTTGTTCTGCACGAATCCTTTACTTTAGATGTTGAGTGTCCAAGGACTGATTCAGCCATGTACATCAGCTTAACTAAAGCATTTTCTAAAATGTCTTCAAGAGGCACTTACACACCTAGTTTCTGTAGATCCTGTAGAAATTTTAGCCTTGCCTCTAATTATCTTGACAAAATTAGGCCTAGTAATGGAAGTTACAGCCCAGTGTCCTGTAATCCTTATGTATGAGAAAAATTTTACTGCTTGATAATTTTTTTGAGATTATTTTGGCCACAACTAACTGAAGATTTAGTCCTGTCAGTATATGTGAAGCTAGGTACAGTTTTATCTTATAGGCCTTGAAAATTTGGTTGCATTTCTACATCAGCGACTTTAAGGTATTTGTAACCTTAACTAAAAGTGGTTGAAAAAATGATTTTTGATTTTTGAGTTTAAAAATTGCTTTATTTATGTTTCTATTCTTTTTTTACTGTCTTTATGATTCTTATGTTTACAGATATGGATCTGAGCAGAAAAAGGAAATAGAAGAATAAGCACTTTTTTCTGAAAATGTTTTGGATGTACCAAGTTGCTAATAATTTTTTCCCTGTCTTTTTTTCTAGATATTGTAAATTGTGACTTGAAATCTACACTGAGAGTACTGTATAACTTGTTTACCAAATACAGGAATGTGGAGTGAAGAATTCATTTGGAACATAAAGAAGTTTTAACAAAGAAAATGTCATAACTAGCATATTTTTCACCAATATTCCTCTGCATCGTTATCCTAGAAGGAACTAAACCATTCATCTGAAGAATCTTTAATTGACTACTCTTGCACAACTTTTTCCACAGTGGGTTTAAAGCTAAGACTACGTAAAACTAATACAAATTATGGAAAAAATTTGGAGGAAGGTATTTGGATATCTTCTGGGAGAATCTGTGTTTCAGTAATAACTCCATCTCTACAGTTTTGTAGTAGGTGGAGCAGCAATGGAAAAAAAAAAAGATTTATTAACTTTAATTCAGATCAGCTGTCGAAGCCAAATATAGGAAGTTTCTATACTAAGCATCTACTTCAGTGTTTATGAAACATGTCTTTTCCAATCTGGGGGGAGGAAGAATACTTTTCTGTCCATGATAAAATGATTGCATTGAAATTCTAAAAAATGTGCATATGGAGAAACAGTAAAATTCTCTTCTTCACATGAAAGCTGAAAAGAATAGACTTTCTCAAGTACTTAACCTAAATAATTTGTATTTTCAGTGCAGTTAGGCTTGAATTCTATGGGTACAAACTGAAGTGGCTACTTTTTCCTTCAGTCTTATTAAAATGCGATGCTCTTCTATAAATATATAGTACTGAGCATTCCTCCTAAGTACGCTTTGCAGCTTGTTCACTTAGTTTTGTTCATGAAGGAGATCTTTTTTTATTGTTGTTTTTTTCCCCAAGTACACATTTTCAGGAAAGCACACCTGTATATGATACAGTTTCCCTGTAGTATTTGTTTTATTAGCATAGAAATGCTAGAAAGTTGGCTTATTTTTCTTTTTTCAACTTTTAATAGTTGGAACATGGAATTGTCACATCATAAGTTTAGATTTATTATTAAATAGACTTTAGAATCTATCCCTTTGGTTGATGTTATGGTGAATGGATTTTGTTGCCTAATGTCCAGCATAAAGAATAATATCTATTTTCCAGAAACATTCCTCTACCCTTTCAGATATAAAAACGCTGCTTTTGTGGAGGTTGCTCTGAAAGTAATGTCTCCTATTTATTTCCATGAAAACTACAACCAGTACAAAGAGCACAGTAACAGAATCACACAATCTCAGTGTTGGAAGGGATCTTGAGAGATCATCAAGTCTAACCTTCTGCTAAAGCAGGTACCCTACAATAGGTTGCACAGGTAGGCATCCATGACACTATTTGATAGAGAAAATTCTCAGCTACCAAACTCTACTTTTCATCATAGTCACCACAATTAACTGTGCATTTTTACCTGCAATGAACAAGAGCCTGCATGCTGTGCTTGTGAAAATCTGCACCAGTGGAGCTGACCCACTGTATCACAGCAAGTGTCATGGTGTCATTGCTAAGAAAATGTTGCCCATGCAATCCGTCTTTCATCGGCTTGAACAGATGGAAGTCAGAAGGCACCAAATCCAGGCTGTATGGTGGCTGTGGTAGGATGGTCCAGCCAATATTGGCAATGTATTCCACAGTCTTCAGACTGATACGGTGTCCAGAGTCGTCGTGTTGCAAGAGAAAGGTTGCCAACTTCTCTGGCCTAGCTCTGGATGTTCGAGCCTTCATCTTAGTCAGTGCTGTGATGTAGCTGTCAGAGCTGACTGTTTATTCGAGTTCTAAGAAATCAGGAAGGCTCACACCTTTCCTATCCCAGAAGACGCTGCAAATCACTTGACCCGTGTGAACTTTTTCATCAATGGGGAATTCACATGTGCTACTTCATGGAGTGCTGTTTTGACTCTGGCTTATAGTGGTGACACCAAATCTTGTCACTGATAACGATGCGATCCAAGAAACTAATCACCTTCAGCCTCATATTGGTTCACTAGATCCAGACAATATTGTAAGCAGTGTTCTTTCTGTTCCTCTGTGAGCATTTATAGGGTCTAGCTGGCACACGCTTGGTGATACTCTAATGTTGCCATCATCATTTTCAATGTGTTGAAGCCAGCATTCATCTCCGTACACAGTTTTGTGGTCATAATCTGCCGACTCTCGTGGATGAGGTGATTGGGACACAAGCACAGTGAGTGACGTTTGGTGCTGGCTTTTTCCACATGGAAGAATTCAGTTCCCCCCCACTGCTTCATCCATGCTTCCATGTCAGATGCCATTTTGTCAGACTGCCCCTGTGCTGCTATCAGTCTCACACATGAACAAAATGTAATGGTATATTGGTGGGAACCTCTACTTCAACCTCTACTGCCATCCCATCACCATCTGCCTTTGATGTTGTGGGCCAACATAATAAACTAGGAGGCATTACTTCTGGAACAACCTTTGTAGATCAAAACTACTCATATCTGCAAATACTGCTGCAGCGTAAGGTCGGTTGGTCATTTTTTGTGTCTATAAAGAATACTTTCATTGTTGTTGTTGTTTTTTTAAATCATGACCAACGATAAGCTGTTATCTGTTTGGTTTCAGTTTATCAAAGACTGAAAAGAGAAATGAGAATTAATTATTTCCTTAGACTGTTATCAAGCATCAATTATGTTTCTATGAAGAAGCTCTAGAGGCTGCCTGACACTAGTATGAATTATCAAAACTGCTGAGAAGTAAACTAAGCATATATTTAGACGTCTTCATGTCAGTTTTAGATACCTTCTTAAGTGAAGTGTTCCAGCGCACCACAGTGTCTTGGGATACTGGCTTACACACTAAGGAAAAAAAAAGTCCTGAGGCAAAAAGTATTGGAAATTTGTGTATTGTAGAAAGGAAACTTTTTGCAAGTCATCCATTTGTGGCAGAACTGCTGTAGGTGAAAGGCAGGCGATCTATCAGCTCTTGAGGTTGTTCATCTGAAGAAATGCAGTACTGTCAGCTACAGTTGTTAACACCTGAATGTTGATTTCTGTACAAAGCATAATATTTTTTTCAATTTTCAGGGTTTTTTTTTTCTTTTTTTTTTTTTTTTTAATTAGTGCTTTCCAGTGCAACATCAACTTAAAAGGAAGACAACAATTATATTCTGCCTTTGGTGAATAATTGATAACAGTCAATAACAATATTGACTGTGCCGGAGGGCCACAGAAATTATTCTGTGAATAAATAAATCTCCATAAGTGTCAGCTTTTGCAAAGGAGAGTCAGTATTTGGTTCAAAGGATAATACCTGGATATTCTCTGAACTCAGAAATTGCGTTCTAAAAGTATTCATCAGAATATTTGGTTACCTCTATGTTTTTTAACTGAGTTTCTGAAGTTAGAATTACAGAATGTAACAGTTATTTACATTTTGCATAGGTAAATAACTGGGCATTTTTACTCCTGTGAAAATGAACATTTTCATGAAGTCTTTAATAGTTCTGATCTTTCTGAGAAGCTAAACAGTAGGAATTACCTGACCACTTTTTTTGGAGGAAAATGAGGTGGGGTTTCTCATTTGTAAACAGGCAGCAATTTCAACGTAGCTTACTATTTAACATGTAAGAAGTTTGCAATTTGCAGAGCTAGATTATAGTAATTGTAATAGTTCATTAACAAATGCATGATGTTTTTTCTGCAGATCCTGTTCGGTTGAAACACTTTCACATCTCAGCAGTGCCAAAACATTTAGATTGTCCTTGTTTTCAGGAGTGCACTTTCTGTAAAAAGGAGATTTATATATGTAGAGGAAAAAGGTTAGGAACAATGAAACTGATATTTCTTAAACTTGAAAATACGTATTCCTGTGCTGTACTGATATAACTTTATTGGAGATTTTGAAGTCTATTCTACCTGTATTTTCAGTCTTTAAAATAATAATAACAGTAACATAAAACTGAGATAGAATTGTGAAATCCCCATACTGAAATGATGTTATGCGGAACCACAGAAACATTTAACAAAGTCCAACCTCTGTGCAAATTCCCTTTTTTATGTACGTTTAAATTGCTATTTGACCCGGAGAGTCCTACATAAATACAAACCCATGTGATGATTTTAACACATTCACGCAAATAGTGTATGCTGCCAGATAGGAGTGGTCACTGCTTATATATGACAATGTAGATTTAAATAGCTATCAGATAAATATGAAATCTAATATACAGATTATATCTAATATTTATTGCTTCGATACAGAATATTATAGAAATATAGAGTACTACTGTAGACAGTTGGCTCTTCAACAGTTAGTGTAGGCCAGCGCCTTCCTGCGGGGAAGTAAAATGTTAAGGTAGTTGGGCCATATTCTGCTGTCATTTATCATGCTTCTGTTCTCAGCACACAGCACTGTATGTCAGTGTGCAAATGGATACAGAATTTCCCTCAGTTTACATTAGGATAGAATTTGTTTACATTTTAGGTCAGTCCTGGTTTTATTTACGGTTAGTTTAAAATCTGTTTAAATAGATCCAGATCAATAGATTTAGCCAATGTAGGATACCAGCGGTCGCCGGGAGAGGCCCATTTCACAGAGGGAGCCTCTCATCTTGAGGATGCTGTCTGATACTTTGGCTGTGTTTCTAAACCCAGGCCACTGCCTTAAGATCTCATGATGGTTTCTGAGCATCATCCTCCAGACCGCTGTGTTTGCGTGTTGTGCTCTGTCACATGAAGGCCCACAGGTAGCTGAGCCCACTGAAAACCAGCAGATGCTAGCCTGTCTTGAGGGGAAAAAAAGGCAGTAAACATTTCTGATGCTGGGACGTCATGAAACTGCCGAAGGAACTTGAAATTCATCTATTTGCCACTGCAGCACCATGGTAGCCAAGTTTGTTTTGTGGTTGGAGGTGGGCATGCCTTCCCTATCAGTGGATTCTGCCAACCACACAGAACTGGGTTGTTCTTTTTGTTTTGTTTTGTTTTGTTTTTTCAAAAAGGAGTATGTCAGAAAGTCATTGTTAGAATAATTATCTGACATCCTAAGTATTTTATGGTCAGCTCCCCACGTTTCTTTCAAAAGCTCACCAGTTGCCATCAAGACTTCCCAGAGAAACTGTATCAAAGGAATCCTTGTGTAATTTCACCTGATACACGTCAGGCTCACGATAGGATTACTCTGTGTTGACAGTGGACCAACTTGCTTGTTGGCACATAAATCAGTGGCATTAAATCAACAGAGCATTTGGTCTCTTCTGTTTATAGAGGGGGTTACATTATTTGGGAATGGTTTATATTCAGGCAAACTATATCAGTTGACCTAAGTGCTACTTGGTTGACCTTGGTTCTTGCTCGTTTTCATAAAGTATCTTTCAAAATTCATATCTGTTTAATTTTGCAGACATCTTTCTGCAGCCCATAATGTTTTAAAGCAGAATGGCTTTTAGAAATGATGGAGTTTATTTCATTAGATAAAAATATATATATAATATTTAATTATTATTAAATAATTACACTACATTTTAGCTTTAGATCTAGTTTCTGTTGTTCATGTCTTACAAATCAGCCATCACACGTGACCTGTATGCATGTCAAGCACTCAGAAAGAGAACAGTGCCTTGTAGACCTCTTGCAGGATTTTCTGCACTGTTACCT